AATCCTATGGAGAATGTTGATGTATTTGTTTTAGTAGGCAGTTGACCTTATTGGGTTCTGGCTGCACGTCCCAACCAGCTTCTGTGGGTTGTGGTTTCAGCTAGTTCCATTTTCAAAGCCCTCAGTTTTATTCAGATTTGTCACACATGTATGCTGCTAAGTGGCCATTCTGAAACCTGGCATGTGGTTTATCTCTTAGTTTAGTCTTTGGTATGTTGTTTATCATCGAAACCACACATGCGTTCCTCAGAAGTGATACCAGAAATTCATAAACAACTTTATCTGGTAATTTTCCGAAGATCCTCCCTTTAAGTACTTTCCCCAGTAACTTCCAGTCTCTTAAGCCTCTTTTTTGATCTTCCATCTGTAATACTGGAGCTTTATTTACCCCCACCCTGTGTACACTTGTAATGACTGTACTCATATCTCGGGACAAGTTAGTGAGAGGGAAGGAGGTTAGTGAGAATTTAAAAAGCAATGATGTGCACCTCACTCTCTTGAGACTATAGCTCCCATGACTGGAAAGTAACCCCTTCCCCCTCAGAATTTTGGTGCTTTTGTAGCTGCTAGGAGATCGCTGTCTTCTTCCTTGATCCTGAGCAGAGGGCTTTTCTGGAAGCTTTCTCTAGCCATACCAATGCCCATCTCCACATTACAGAGTGCCTTATATCCACAGTGGGAGATACTAAAGGGTGTGAAAAGGGTTTATTCACTACCAGTTAGGTCTGCTGTACTTCAAATTTTGTTGTTCTTCAAACTTCATACTGTTACCTTCTTCTTATAGTACTTACAGGTTGTTATATGCATTCTTTCCAGGTTTTATAGCTGCATTCAGTGGGATAGTCAGAGTGGAGTGTGCTTACTCTATCTTACCCAGAACTGCAACCCTTAAAATAATTTTATAATTAACATCGATAGTAAGGGAGACTATACTTAAAACAGATAAATAAAACTTAACAAATTTGACATGTAAGCACTCTGAATGCCAGGCCAAAGTGTTCTTTACAACTCTCCATAGAAATTGAATCTAAGTCGAATTTCAGGTAGAAGCAAACTTTATAATTTCACCAAACCAAGAGCAAGTCAAGAATGCCTTGTGTGCTACTCTGGCTTCTTATTTTCAGGATCTAGAAAAGCTGCTCTGGCTAGCTTAAGAAGAATAACTTACTAATCAGGTATTATAGGAAGAGACAAATACATAAATCAGAAATGAAAGTGGGGACACAACTATTGACCTTTCAGAAGTAAAAAGAATTATAAGAGAATTCTCTAAACAATTGTGTGCCAAAAAATAAAGATAAATTTGATGACATGGATAAATTTCTAGCAACAAGTAAATTACCAAAACTGACTCAAGAAGAAATAGAAAATCTGACTAGAGCTATAATAAGTAAAGAGAATGAAACATTAATTAAAAACTTGCCAATGAAGATAAGTCCAGGATCTGATGGCTTCATCAGTGAATTCTACCAAACATTTAAAGAATTAACACCAATCCTCAATTTTTGAAAAAATAGAACAGAACACTTCCTATTTTTGATGCCAGCATTAACCTGATACCAAAATCAGATAAAGACCTCACAAGAAAAGAAAATTACAAAGCACTATCCCTAATGAATATAGATGTAAAAATTCTCAACAAAATACTAGCAAGCCAAAGCCAACAACATATTAAAAGATAATATACCATGACCAAATGGGATTTAATGGAATCCCAGGAATGCAAGGGTGTTTTGAGGTGAGAAAAATCAATGTAATATAGCACATTAATGGAATATTAGAATACCACATGATCATCTCAATTGATGCAGAAAAAATACTTGCGACAAAATCCAACACATTTTCATGAAAAAACTCAAGAAACTAGGAATGAAAGGGAACTTCCTCAATATGAGAAAGGGTAATTATGAAAAACTCATAGCAAAAATCATACGCAATAGTGAAAGACTAAAAGCCTTTTCCCCAAGATGAGGAACAAGACAAACATGACTGCTTTCACCACAGCTATTTGACATTGTATTGGAAGTTCTAGCCAAAATAGATAGATAGATAGATAGACAGACAGACAGACAGAAAGACAGATAGATAGACAAATAGAAAGATAGATAGAAAGATAGGTAGACAGGTAGACAGGTAGGTAGACAGGTAGGTAGACAGGTAGACAGACAGGTAGGTAGACAGGTAGGTAGACAGGTAGGTAGATAGGTAGGTAGGTAGGATGTTCCTTCTTTCCCTTCACCTTCCACCATGATTTTAAGTTTCCTGAGGCCTCTCAAGCTGAGCTTCTGTACAGCCTGTGAAACTATGAGTCAATGAAACTTCTTTTCTTTATAAATTACCCAGTCTCAGGTAGTTCTTTATAGCAATGTGAAAACAGTCTAATACAACAAACAATCTACTTAGAATAGCATCTGGGAATAAAATATCTGGAAATAAATTTAACCAAGCGGTAAAAGACTTGTACACTGAAAACTATAAAAAATTGCTGACAGAAATTTAAGAGGGACTAATTAAATGGTAAGACATACTGAGTTCATGGATTAGAAGACTTATGGTTAAGATGACAATACCCAAAGCAATATACAGATTCAATGCTATCCCTATCAAAACTCTGATAGTCTTACTTTTTTTTTTTTCAGGAATGGAAAAGCCAGTTTTCAAAATTTTATAGAATTGTAAGGGTCCCCAAATAGCCAAAACAGATGAACAAAGTCGGAGACCACACACTTCTTGACTTCCAAACTTAGTACAAAGCTACAGTAATCAATACAGTGTGGCGCTGACATAAGGATAGACATATAGATAAATGGAATAAAGTTGAGAATCCAGAAATAAACAATATATGTATGGCAGATTTTTTTTTTCATTTTTTGTGGCTAAATATACATAACATAAAATTTACTCTTAACCGTTTTCAGTGTACGATTCAGTGGTATTATGTATAATCATATTGTTGTGCAACAATTGCCACCATTCATCTCCACAATTCTTGAATTTGGTAAAACAGACTCTATACCCAGTAAGTAATAACTGCACATTGCCCACTTTCCCTATCCCCTGGCAATCACAATTCTACTTTCTACCTCTTTAATTTTGACTATTCTAATATCTCATTAAAATGGAATAATGTAGTATTTGTCTTTTTTGTGACTGGCTTATTTCACTTGGCATACTGTCCTCAAGGTTTTTTCCTGTTATAGGACATGTCAGAATACTTCCTTTTCAAAGCTGAGTAATACTCTGTTGTATATACATACTACCTTTTGCTTATCTATTCATCTGTCAATGGACACTTGGGTTGTTTCCATATTTTAGCTTTTGTGAATAATGCTGCTATGAACAATGAGTGTACAAATATCTCTTCAAGACCCTGGTTTTAATTTTTGCATGTAGGAACAGTCAAGCTTTATAAAAATAAACCCACTGTTCAGGCTATAGTCTAGAAAGGGGAATTGCTGTGGTTAAGATCCAGGCTTTCCAATTTTAAGCCTTTAACTCTTATTGTTGTGCAACAGTTGCCACCATTCATCTCCAGAATTCTTGCATCTAGTAAAACTGAGACTCTTTACTCATTAATAACTGTACATTGCTTTCTACCTCTTTAATTTTGACTATTCAAATACCTCTAGACTACTTTTGACTACTCTAATACGTCTAATACTTTTAAAGGCTTAAAATTGGGAAGCCTGGATCCTAACTACCGCAATTACTATTTGTTTTAGGACAACTACTGACCTAGAACATCATAACACATAACAGGCATTCGATGAAGAGCTGACTGAACGACTAACTTGAGAAAGGCAATAGAATAGGCTGAAAGCTGCAGCTTGATGATGATCGCCCTGGCTTTCAGAAGCATGGTTACTGATGCTAAGTTGTTGCTGATTAGGATGAATATAAAACCTATTTCTGGAGGCTACCTGATGCCACTGACAGAAAATAATCAGTCCTTTCCTAGGACAAATGGTGGGATCCTGAACTCCGTAAAACACATATTGTCAGACTAAACAGAAGGCTTCTAAAGCTACTTCCAGATTACAGCATCAATAAATAAATAAACACCTATGAGTTTCTGGATTCAACCAGCAATTAAATTTCTATAGCAGTTAAACACACTATTTCTGGTACTTGATCTTACTGTGAATGCCAAAAATGTCTTCAGAATCAGGAAGGTGAAGCAGCGTCTTCTCTCTTTAGAATACCTGTATTACTGCACCTTCACTAAACTTTGCGTGGAGACAGTTTACTCTCAGTTACTCTTTCTTTGATTTCCCATAAGCTTTTTACCTGGAAGTGAGGTAGAACACATTAGATTCTAATGGAGATTTAGTTGTCTAAAACTAACCAATTTATTTATACAGTCACTTTGTCCTCTGAACTTTCTCTTAATCTTTGTTTCATTATGTATGTGCCTGAAGATTTGAAAACCTTTAACTGTTGAAGTATAGTTACTTAAATAAGAGTATTGCTTATTGGCTGACTTTGAGAAGCAAGTTTACTAGAGAGAGGCTGTTGATTGGCTGATTTTCAAAGGGTGCTGCCATTGATTGATTACTTATATGAAGTTATTGATATATCAGCATGGGTTTAAAACTTGGTTTTGGTTGTTATCGTTAAGACCAATTTATAGACAGTGCTTTTCTAGAAAAATGCAAACTTTTAAATTCTCAGAACTTTGTTACTTTACTTGACTATGTGTTAAGTGTACTAGACCATATCAACATTTCTTTTCTAACAAAATTAAATCATTTATTGAATACACATGATAATGGATGATACACAGGCTTCATTTCCATCTATAATTTTATTTGGTACTATCATTTAATTTAGATATATTACATAGGATGTGCCAACAATCATTTTTTATAACCAATAATTTCATGATTTTGCTTGAGACATCCGTTTTAATGCTAAGCTTCAGGTCATAGCAGTAAGTATCAGTTCAACTACACCAAGGTTTCTGAAGACGATAGCTTCATTTAGTCTTGACATGTAAGCAGGTTGTATATAAATTCCAAATACAACCTTGCATCACCCTGAAGGAATTCTAACTTCACACTGTTGGGGAAATTTACCAAGATGGCTTCAGAGTAAACTAACTTTACATAGCACATTAAAAAAAAAAAAGACATTTATTCAGCATCACGATCAGGCTATTACATTTAGTAATCAACAGCATGGATGCAAAAAAGAAATCTACATTAAAACCCTTTTTTGGAATGCTTTACACTTTCCACAGAACAGAAACTAAAATAGCCCATTACACAATTAGTCACAAGGCAGTCCTGGAGTTTTTTGCACATATACGTGAGTATTTGTCTAAAACATATCTTCTTTGTAGCAACTAGGACCTGTAACTACTGTGCTTGGCTGAGTTGACAAATCTGTTGTAACCTGTAGCTTCCCTGTCACTTCTCTGGTTGTCCTCTCCTGCTAAGCTTTGTTTCCTAATTAAAAATTTCTGCCACTGCCATAGCTACTGCTGCTACTGGAACTGCCATAGCCACCTTGGTTTCATGGTTTGGCAAAGTATTGGGCTCCACCACTATAGGGGTCAGAGCTTCTGCCCCCAAAGTTTCCTCCCTTTGTGGGTCCAAAATTTGAAGACTGATTGTTGTAATTGCTGAAATCATTGTAGCTTCCACTGCCTCCAAAACTGCTTCCACTACCACCACCAAAGCAGCCTCCACCATCATTGTTACAGTTGTCATGTCTGCTGCTCCTGCCATAGACACTGCCGTGGTTTACATAACCCTGTCCACCACTTCCATAGCCTCTACTTCCTCCAGAGTAACCAGGGCTGCCTCCTCTATAACCACCATCATTACCAAATCCATTATAGCCATCCCCACTGCCATGATATCCACCACCTTGGCGGCCACCAAAGCCACCATGGCCACTGAAGTTTCCTCCATGATCAAAGTTGTCATTCTCATCAAAACCGCCTCCACAGCCACCAGAAAAATTTTTATAACCAGTTTGACCTCTTTGGCTGGATGAAGCACTCACCATCTCTTGCTTTGATAAGGCTTTCCTAACTTCACAGTTATGGCCATTCACGGTATGGCATTTCTGAATAACAGTCTTACCCATGGAGTCATGGTCGTCAAAGATTATAAAGGCAAAGCCCCTTTTCTTGGCACTGCCTCGGTCACTTGTGATTTCAATCACTTCAATTTTTCGATACTGTTCAAACTAACCTCTTAGGTGATGTTCTTCAGTGTGTTCTTTAATGCCATCAACAAAAATCCTTTTCACTGTTAAGTGGGCACTTGTTCATTGAGAATCTTCTCTTGAGTCAGCTCTCTTTGGTTCCACAACTCTTCCATCCACTTTGTGTGGCCTTGCATTCATGGCTGCATCCACCTCCTGCACAGTGGCATATGTGACAAACCCAAAGCCCCTGGAGCTCTTGGTGTTTGGATCTCTCATTACCACACAGTCCGTGGGCGTTCCCCATTGCTCAAAATGGCTCCTCAGGCTCTCATCAGTTGTTTGAAAGCTCAACCTTCCAATGAAGAGCTTCCTCAGCTTTTTGGGCTCTTTAGGAGACTCTGGCTTAGACATCATGGCAGGGAGCAGAGAGACTTTAACGATGCTTCTTTAGCGGCATCCACTGGCAGAAGAACCATATCAACATTTCTCGAAGTATATACCACACCTCGGTTCTAAGGAATGTAAACAGAAATTCTGTGTAAATAAGAATTCCCTGGAAAATAATATCATTACAACTAGATTAGGCAACAACAGGTGAGTTTGTGTATTTCAGAATTTCTCAGAGGATTTAATATGCACAGCGTGAATCCACAACTGAGATGTATAGTATATGGCTTTCTATAAGGTTATTTTACTTTTTATTTTTGAGAAATATTTCTCAAGGATAGGAATCCTCAAAACAGATTTTGATAAATATTATTCTGGCTGATTTTCTTTGTTAGGAGCTGGGAAACTATGGCCCATGGGCCTAATCTATCTGCTGCCTGTTTTTGTAAAGCCTGCAAGCTAAGAGGAATTTTATATTTTTTAATGGTTTGGAAAAACAGATCTTATGACACCTGAAAATTATATAAAATTTAAATTTCATTGGTGAATAAAATTTTATTAGAATACAGCTATGCTCATTTGGTCACATACTGCCTATGGCTGCTTTTACACTGAAATGGTAGAGTTGAGTAGTTGCAACAGAAATCCTATGTGTCACTCTTACTAATTCACAGAGCTGCTGAGTGCACTCTAAGTCACAGTGATATAGTTATAACTGTATAGAATTCCAAGTGCGTACCATCATACCACCATATTTTTTTTTGTTCTCAGTTTTACCAGTCATGTCAAAATGAAGAAAATAGTCGACTCTAAATGTCGTGTTTTAAAGACAAAATGAAGTGTGGATTATTTTGTTGGCAAAGTATTGCATTTATCTTGGAATAACATTAGAGCTGTGCCACAAGAATATACTATACATCTGCTTACCAGACTCAACACTCATCACGATATTCCCAACTCTCAGGAATATAATAATCAGAAAAATTAAAAAAGTAAAACTGAATATTTTATTATAAATTATTTATGAAGATAAACAGTGGAGGAGACTGCAATCAAAGTGAGTCTCCAGGTGGCTCCTCTGTTCGCCACGTGAAGAACCCGTTTGCCATTGATAGTTAATTATACTGCAAGAGAGAAAAAATGTGTCTAGAGAAAATTATTTAAGACTGTTAGGCTTGTGATGAGCACAGTTGCTTGAAGAGTTGAGAAGAAGCATCAGTAACCAAGTAAAGAATAAGGCAAATGATTTCAAGTTCTTTTCCTTGACTGTATAAGTCCACAGATCATATTGATACTGATCAATTGTTTATTCTTAGAGATAATACCAAATTTGAAGTGAAATAAACATTAGACTCTTTATATAGAGAAACTACATGTGAGAGATATTTTCAGAGAAATTGGAAAAGCAGTAATTCAGTAAAATCTGAAGTGGAATTTACTGAGATGTGTTATAATCAATGGTGGTAAAAATATCTGGGGCAGGCAAAGGCTTTGGTTTACAAATTTACAAAGGCTGTGAAAATGTAAGCTGATTAAAGCCTTGCTTTTTCATTGTATTACTCATCCGTAGATATTTTGAGGAAAATATTTGAATTTATCATGTAATGTTGAACTGGTAGAATAACAATGAACTTCATTTGCTCTTGTGGACTTCATTACTTCCAAGAATTTTTGTCTGAAGTATAAGTTGAATACCTAGATTTTCCCTACCAAAAGTAATTTTATGGCTTAGCAGTGGTAACATTTTATTTTGATTTTTTTTTTTTTTTTTAGCTCAGGGATGAGATTGCAATTTTTTTGAAGAATAAGAACACCTTCAACTAATATATTGAACTCTGAATGGCTTTAGAAATTAAATTTTGCAGCAAACGTGATAGTTGTTTAATAAATTCAACCCAAAATTATAAAGCAAAACGATACTTATATGTGAAACTTAAAGTGAATTAAAGTCATTTTGACAATTTTTGAATCATGAGACATGACAAGTATGCTAGAAAAAATTTAAACAAGAAACAAGATCTTCAATACTACACAAATTTGCAGTGGATATATTTTCCAAGCTCAAACTACATTTCTAGTAGGACTTTGATGCAAGTGCAAAGGGAATTTCCATATTTTAAAATGAATTTAACAGTGAAATTGAGGCACTTCCACCTAACACTTAACTAGGAAGTGATTAACCTGCAACGTAATGACATGCTAAAAGGCAAATAAATACCTTAAGAGAATAATCTAATGAGATTCTGTGAATGCCTTCCAAGTGAGGAGTATGTTCAATAAAAATCATATGAGTGTCTCAATATTAGTATTTTACTAATAGTCACTGTGTAACATAAAAATATATTTTAATGATAAAATACATAAAATCTCATTACAAATCAGCATTAACAGGTAAACATTTGCAAATGATTTTTATGGTAAGGAACTCTATGAATCCCAATTTAGCAAAAATATTATTCCTGCCATTAACAAAAACAGTTCAATTCTTCTCACTAGTAGAGCACTATAACAAAAATTGTACTCAAGTTTTATTATATTTTGATTTTCATGAATTAAAAATTTGCGGAAATTTGTTTCCTCTCATTACATAAAAATCTATACAGTATCTTCAGTTTTGCCTCTTGGCCCACAGAGTCCGAAATATTTACTATCGTACCTTTTATTTTTTTTCTAAGAGACAGGGTGTTAGTCTATCACCCAGACTTCAGTCCAGTGGTGTGGTCATAGCTCACTGCAGCCTTCAATTCCTGGCCTCAAGTGATCTTCCCACCTCAACCTCCCAAAGTGTCGGATTACAGGTGTGAGCCACCACACCTAGCCACTATCACACCTCTTGACCCTAAAAAAGCCATTACAGAAAAGGCTTGCTGAATTCTTAAATAGACCATTGAATTAGAATGGGAAGCCTAGAACAAAAACATGCATAGGTAGATGAACCTTGATTTAGGAAAAGGTGGTACTGCAGTTTAGAAGGGAAAGAAAATTCTATTCAGTTGAAAAAAACATCAACTTTACCCTACCTCACATCATACATGGAAGCAATTCAAGGTGGATTACAAATCTAAGTGTGAAAAAGTGAATAATCAAACTTTGACAGATAATGTAAAAAGAATGTCTTTATGACTTTGAAATATAGAAAACTGTCTTGAACAGAATATGAAAAGTGTTAACCATCACAGAAAAGTAATAAACTTTACTACATTATAATTAATATCTTCTAGTTATCAAAACATGCTATACAGAGAATAAAGAGGCAAGTGACAGTGTGATATAGGTTGGATGTTTGTCCCCTCCAGATATCATGTTGAATTCTGATCCCCAATGTTGAAGGCTGGGCCTAGTGGGAGGTGTTAGTTTCATGGGGGATGATCCCTCATGAAAGGCTTGGTGCTCCCCCACACATGGTAATGAGGGCATTCTTGCTCTGTTAGTTCACATGGAATCTAGCTGTTTAAAAGAATCCGAGACCTCCCTCTTCTCTTCTCTTTTGTCATGTGACACAGCTACTCCTCCTTCACCCTCTAGCATGATTGTAAGCTTTCTGAGACCTTCACCAGAAGCAGCCATCAGAATTTTGAGTCAAAATAAACTTCTTTTCTTTATAAATTACCCCCCTCAGGTATTGCTTTATAGCAATGAAAACAGCTGAATACACAGTGCTTTAGATTTAAATTGACAATTCTGTGACAGCAAAAGTTTCAGTAAGTGGCCCCAGTAGGTAGCAAGTTCCATTTTAAAAGGATAGCAATCGCAAACCTCAAGGTTTACAGAAAAGAGAGCTAATAATCTTACCTTTACTAGTTAGTAGAATTTATAATAAATCTAGAATATAAATTCTCAAATATGAAACTTAATTTATCAAATGAACAATAACTTCTTGATATTTATTATTGCTATTAAGCAGTACTTTAAAAAGAACACAATAGATGGTACTGGAACTAAAATGTTCAAGCATTACAAATAAATTATTTTTCATTCATATGATACCAACCACAACATTTTAAAGGCACTGGTTCTATTAGATACAAAATTAAACCTGATTAAATTGAAAAGAAAACACATTACAATGTAATTATCCATGTGGATGTCATTTAGAGCCCTGGTTTCACTGAAATAATCATTAGAATAGTAAGTAAACCTCAACAAAACCAGTACTCTATTTTACATTAGTAAATATATTAGCTTTATTGTAGCCGGTGGGCAAAAAATAATTTGATAAAACTCCTGGAGGATGACACATTTCACAGTGAGATGTTTTTCCATCTTTTGCTTTATCTGATAAATATAGGAACCATTAGCAGTTTAAATGTGGCCAGTTTAGGTCAATAAAATCTAGGAATTTAAATTTTTTAAGTTAGTATTTCAAATTCAGTAATAGAATCCAACAGACAGATGTTAAATGTGCCTTCATTAAATGCCTCTCTGGCTTTTATATATAATTGCTAAAATTATCTCAGGACTACAGTATCAGTCATAACAATTTTTCTTATGTAACCTAATCCTCCATTTTTAAAAGAGCTTCTAAAAATTGGCGGCACTGTGGCTCATGCTTGTAATCACAGCAGTTTGGATGGCCGAGGTGGGTGGATCACTTGAGGTTAGGCCAACATGATGAAGCCCCATCTCTACTGAAAACATGAAAATTAGCTGGGCGTAGTGGTGCACACCTGTAACCCCAGCTGCTCAGGAGGCTGAGGCAGGAGAATAGCTTGAACCTGGAAGGCAGAGGTTGCAGTGAGCTGAGATCATGCCATTACACTCCAGCCTGGGTGAGGAGCAAAACTCCTCTCCAAAAAATAAAATAAAAATAAAAATGTTCTTTACCTAAGACAATTTTGGAGCTTATCCCACTCTCTGTACTTCATGCTATGGTACTACTTTGTGCCTAATATTTAATTCATTTAGTCATTCAATAAACAAATTATTGTTTGTTTTGGAGGATTCCAAAGAAAAATACTTTGTCAGATTTTGGAAAACAGAAGACCTATATAATATTCATAATCTATTTGTTATGTACCAAGAACTATTCTGTGAATTTTGTATGCATTATCTGTCAATTTGTTCGGAAAAACAACTATTGTAATCATTTAGGGATGAAGAAAGTAAGCCTTAGGTAGGTGAATATTCTTTCACAGGCAGTTGAAACCAAAGTCTAAATTGAGAAAAATTTTGCTTACCTATTAGGGAAGACATGTCAGTATATTAAGACTACAGTGATAGATAAACAGTGACTAAAAATATGATAACTTTATGATAAGGAATCTAAAACCAATTGAATGTCTGAAATTAGTTAAAATAGTTGATCATTAAAATGTAAAAGTGAGGGGCTGGCTGTGGTGGCTCACGTCTATAATCCCAGCACTTTGGGAGGCCAAGGCGGACGGATCATGAGGTCAAGAGATCGAGACCATCCTGGTCAACATGGTGAAACCCCGTCTCTACTAAAAATACAAAAATTAGCTGGGCATGGTGGCGCACACCGGTTGTCCCAGCTACTCGGGAGGCTGAGGCAGGAGACTTGCTTGAACCCAGGAGGCAGAGGTTGCGGTGAGCCGAGATCGCGCCATTGCACTCCAGCCTGGGTAACAAGAGCGAAACTCCGTCTCAAAAAAAAAAAAAAAAAAAGTAAGAGTGAGCCTAAAATCATATACTAATCCAATGAAAATATTATGTTAACTGTTCTCATTAATATAGATATGGTATGTCTATTCAAGATCTGTTTTATGTCCTTAGATAAGATTTTAGAATTGTTTATTATGTAGTCCTAAAATCTTGTTATATGGTTTCTTAGTTATTTACTACTTTTTAATCCTATGGTAATGGAATTTTTTTCAATATCCATTTCTAGTGGGCTATAAAACCATTGGTATTTGTATATTCAGTATTCAGCCATTTTGGTACATTTTGTCAGTAGTTCTTGGAGTTCTTCACTCAGTTTTCCAAGCATGTCATCTGCAAATGGAGATAATTTCCCCTTTGTCAATATTTGTATTATTTTTTTAATTGCATAAGCTGGAACCTCCAAAAAGAAAAAGGTTAAATATGCAGTAGACATTTATCATCTTGAGAAAAGCCTATTCAACATCTGAACCATTTCTTTGCTGAGGAATTTTTTGCCCTGTGAATCAGTTAAAGGCCTGCCTCTCCCTGTATGAGCAGCAACAGTCAAATGCTTTACCTTCCCAATCTGCTTTGAGCTAGGATATCAGCACTTAAATTTGAGTCAGCTAGTCAGATGTGCCTGCTAAGGAGTCTGAGATAATGAACCCAAGATGCAGGTACAATGAAGAATGAAATTTTTGACAATGGCACAGCATCCTTCTTCTAGGTAACACTGCCTGTGCCACTGTCTGCAGTTGAATAGGGAGGGCATCTCTGCAGTCTGTGGAATATGTTCACAGCCTCAGAGCAGGAGTGTCCCTCCAGACTGATTCTGTAGCATGAATTCTGTGTAATTTAGGCTGCCTGAACTCCCCTTTTTGCCAGTCAGTTTTTCCTGCCTGGTTTTCCAGCCTTCCTGTGAGTTCCACGAGTCAGATGGAATATTCTCTTAAAAAAAAATCATTGCAGTAAAATTACATAAAATTAATGATTTTCAAGTGAAAAATTCAGTGGAATTTATTCTTTTCACAATGTTCAACCGCCACTTCTATGGCATCTCCATTACTCCAGAGTAAAACCCTCTTACCAATTAAGCAGTTTTTCTGCATTGTCCCTCGCCTCAGTTTCGGCAAACTGCCTATATGCATTCTGTCTCTACAGATTTATCTGTTCTGGATATTTTATTATAAACATTTACATTATTACACATATGTAATAGTTGTACATATTTATGGGGTACATGTGATTTTTTGGTATAGACACACAATGTGTAATTGTCAAATCAGGGTCATTGGATTATCCAACACTTCAAGCATTTATCATTTCTTTTGGTTAGCAACATTCCAATTCCACTTTTAGTTATTTTGAAATATACAATAAATTACTGTTAATTACAGTTGCCCTATAGATCTTATTCCTTCTGTCTAACTGTAGTTTTGGACCCATTAACCATCCCTCATATAGTCACCCTACTGATCTGTCAAACACTAGGTCTTATTTCCTCTATCAAACTGTATGTCTGTACCCATTTTTCAACCTCTTTTTATTCCCCTACACCTTCCTGGCCTCTGGTAACCAATCTACTCTCTATCTTCATGACATCCGCTTTTTCAGCTCTCACATGTGAAGGAGAACATGTGCTATTTGTCTTTTTGTGCTTGGCTTATTACACTTAACATAATGACTTTCAGTTCCATCTACGTTGCTGCAAATGAAAGGATTTCATTTTATTTTATAGCTGGATAATATTCCATTGTGTATATATGCTACATTTTCTTTACGCTTTCATCACTGATAGGCACTTAGGTTGATTCCGTATTTTGGCTATTGTGAATAGTGCTGCAATAAACATAAAAGTGCAGATATCTATTTGATCTGTTGATTTCCTTTCTTTTGGATATACATTCAGTAGTGGAATTGACAGATCATCTGATAGTTCTAATTTTAGTTTTTCAAGGAGGCTTCATCCATTTTCCATAGTGGCTGTACTAATTTACATTCCTACCAATAATGTACAGGTGTTCCCCCTTTTTCCACATCCTAGTTAGCATTGATTATTCCCTGTGTTTTTAGTAAAAGCCATTTTAACTGTGGTTTTGATTTGCATTTCTCTGATTAGTGATGCTAAGCATTTTTTCATAAACTTACTGGCCAGTTATATGTCTTCTTTTGAGAAATGTCAGATCTTTTACCCAGTTTTAATTTATATTATTTGGGGGTTTTTGCTATTGAGTTGTTTGAGCTCCTTATATATTCCCTTGTCAGGCGGGTAGTTCACAAATATTTTCTTTGACTCCATAGGTTGTCTCTTTATTTTGTTGATTGTTACCTTTGTTGTGCAGAAGTGTGTTAGCTTGATGTGGTCCCATTTGTCCATTTTTGCTTTGGTTGTCTGTAGTATATCTGAGGTAAGGTAGTGCAATGCTTCTAGCTTTGTTCTCTTTGATCAGGATTGCTTTGGCTACTTGGGGTCTGTGGTGGTTCCATATAAATTGTAGGATTATCTTTTGCTATTTCTGTGAAGAATGACATTGGTATTTTGATAGGGATTGCATTGAATCTGTAAATTGCTGTGCACAGTTTGGACATTTAAACAATACTGTTTCTTTCAACCCATGAATTGTATTATCTTTCCATTTTCAGTGCCCTTTTCAATTCCTTTCATCAATGTTTTATAGTTTTAATTGTAGAGATCTTTCATTCTTTAATTTATTTCTAGGTAGTTTACTTTTTTGTAGTTATTGTAAATGGGATCATTCTCTTGGTTTCTTTTTCATATTGTTTGCTGTTGGCAAGTAGAAATGCAACTGATATTTCTGTGTTGATTTTGCATGCTGTAATTTTACTGAATTTGTTTTTCAGTTCTGACGGATTTTGTGTGTGTGTGTGTGTGTGTGTGTGTGAGTGCAGACTTTAAGCTTTTCTAAGATTCCATCTGCAAACAGTGCTAATTTGTCATCTTCCTTTCCAAAGTACATTCCCTTTATTTCTTTCTCTTGTCTGATTTCTCTGGCTAGGACTTCTAGTACTCTGTTGAATAAAAGTGGTGAAAGGAGACATCCTTGTCTTGTTCTAGATATTAGAGGAAAGGCTTTCAGTTTTTCCTTTTTAGTATACTAGCTGTGGATTTTTTGTATATGGCTTTGTTGTACTGAGGTATATTACTTTTATACTCTGTTTTTATCATGAAGGAATATTAAATTTTATCAAAGGCTTTTTTGGCATGTGTTGAAATGATCATATGGGTTTTGGCCTTCGTTCTTTTGATGTGATGTATTATAGTTATTGGTCTGTTTTTAAACTATTCTTGCATTTCTGGAATGAATCTCATTGATTATACTGAATGATCATTTTAATGTGTTGTTGAATTTAGTTTGCTTGTATTTTGTTGAGGATTTTTGCATGTACATTGATCAGTGATACTGGCCTATAGTTTTCTTTCGTTTTAGTATGAGGGTGATGCTAGCCTCATAGAATGAGCTTGGAAGTCTTCCTTCCTTTTCTGTTTTTTATTTTTTTAAGAATTTGGGTGGAATTGTTATTAACCCCTCTTTAAATATTTTGTATAATTAAGTAGTGAATCTATAAGATCCTGGGCTTTTCTTTCATGGGAGATTTGTTTTTTTATCATGTCTTCTATCTATTTTTTTTAGCTGTTTTATTTATTATTGACCTATTCAGGTTTTGGATTTCTTCATGGTTCAATCTTTGTAGGTTGTATGTGTTTAGAAATGTATCAATTTATTCTGGGTTTTCCAATTTATTGTCATATAGTTGCTCAAAATAGTCTCTAATAATCCTTTGAACTTCTGTAGTATCAGTTCTCATGTCTCCTTTTACAAAGCTAATTTTGTTTATTTGGATCTTCTCATCTTTTTTTTTTTCTTAGTTTGGCTAAAGGATGTTAATTTTGTTTATCTTTCCAAAACACCAACTTTTTGTTTTGCTGACTCTCTGTCTCAATTTTATTTATTTTTGCTCTGATCTTTATTATTTATTTCCTTCTATTAATGTTGGGTCTGGTTTCCTCTTGTTTTCTAGATCTTTAAGATGCATTGTTAGTTTATTTAAAGTTTTTCTACTTATTTGGTATAGGCATTTATTGCTATAAAACTTCCCACTGTGCTTCCTTTGCTGTATCCCATAGGTTTTGGTATGTTGTATTTCCATTCTCATTTGTTTCACAAATTTTTACGTTTTCCTTCTTAAGTTCTCCATTGACCCAATGGTCATGCATGAGCATATTGTTTAATTTCCATGTGTTTGTATAGTGTTTAATGTTCCTTTTGTTACTGGTTTCTAGTTTTATTCTACTGTGATTAGAAAAAAATATTTAATATGATTTCACTTATTTTGAGTTTTTGGAGACATTTTTGTGGCCTAACTTTTGGTCTATCCTTGAAAATATTTCATGTTTGAAAATAATTTGTGTTCTGAAGCAACTGGGTGAAAGGTTCTGTAAATTTCTATTAGGTCTATTTGGTCTAAAGCACAGGTTATATCTGATTTTTTTGTTGTTGTTGATTTTTTTTTTAATCTAGATGATCTGTGCAATACTTAAAGTGGGATGTTGAAGTCCCCAACTATTGCTATATTGGGGCATCTATTTTTTTAGCTGTAATATTTACTTTATCTATCTGGATGCTCCAGTGTTGGGTGCGTATTTACAATTGTTGTATCTTCTTGTTGAATTGATCCCTTTATATAGTGATTTTCTTTGTCCCTTTTTGCACTTTTTTATTTTATCTAATATAGGTATAGCTACTCCTGATCTTTTTTGCTTCCATTTGCATAGAATACCTTTTTACACCAATTTATTTTTAGCCTATATTTATCTTTATAGGTGAGCAAGTTTCTTATAGGCAGCATATGGTTGAGTCTTGTTTTTTTTGTGCATTTTTTTTTTTTTTTTTTTTTTGAGATGGAGTCTCACACCATCACCCAGGCTGTAATGCAGTGGTGCAATCTCGGCTCACTGCAATCTTCGCCTCCTGGGTTCAAGCAATTCTCCTGCCTCAGCCTCCTGAGTAGCTGGTACTGCAGGTGTGCGCCACCAGGCCCAGCTAATTTTTATGTATTTTTTAGTAGAGACAGGGTTTCACCATGTTGGTCAGGATGGTCTCAATCTCCTGACCTCGTGATCTGCCCACCCTAGTCTCCCAAAGTGCTGGGATTATAGGCATGAGCCACCGCACACAGCCACGTCTTGTTTTTTTAATCCATTCAGCTACTCTGTGTCCTTTGATTGGAGAATTTAGTTCATTTACACTTATTCAATGTTATTGTTGGTAGTAAAGGACTTACTCTTGCCATTTTGTTATATGATTTGTGGTTGTTTGTTGGTCCTGCCTTTCTTCTTTCCTTCCTGTCTTCCTTTGTGTAAAAGTGATTTTCTCTGGTGATATGTTTTCATTTCTTGCTTTTAATTTTTTGTGTATCTATTATAAGTTTTTGTTTTGTTATTATTATGAAGCTTGCAAGTAACGTCTTATAACCTATTATTTTAAACTGATGACAGCTTAACTCTGATTACAAAGAAAACACAAAAATACAAAGAAATAAAAAGAAAACTGAAAAA